ACAATAGGTTGCCTTCAGGCCCAGGCCGCCCTTGAAAAAGAGATCTGAGATCTCAATGGGATTTGCCTGGTAAAATAACAGTAAATAAAAAAAAAAAATAAAAAAATAAAAGTGATTCCATTCATTTTTTCCCCAGAAATGAGTGATTCCATATTTCCCTCCCTGTGCTTGGTCATTAAAAGTAACATTCACTGACTTCCACAATGTTTTCTTTACATTTCTTTGAGTGTTCCTGAAAGCCAACAAAGTTACACTTTGGAATGACCTTATTATTGTATCATGTTTTTCATCTGAGTTTATTTTACAGAATGAAATGTCTGAATGAGTGCTCATCCAAGACTGGTGATTCCATACTTTTTGCCAGGGSTTGTATTTCTAAATTAAAGCTCACCAGTTGAAGACATCAGAACATTCTGCTTTTAAACTGTGACATTTCAATCTTTAAGGGCTTCAGATCTGTAGTTAATAAACTCATTTAAAGGTTCCACTTGTTTTGCCATAAACATAACTTAAAAAAACTAAAAAAAAAAATGTGATCACCTTTTTTTTAAAGTGTCAAGATAATTAAAAAGAAATGATCTAATGAAGTTGTGTAAAAAAATCTAAGCTTAAATTAAATCAGAGATCAGCAGCAAACACACAACCAGTTGTCTTAAAAATAAAATTATCTGGTGCTTTTAGTGGTCCAGTCAAAGTCCAGACCTCAGCCTGTCTGAAAAACTTGGGCAAAACTTTTAGAATAATAAATAAATGTGGACCAAAACTCTTCCACAACCATGAGAGACGTTTAAGCTCTTCCTGGAGAAGATTAGTTGAAGTGGGTGCTGCTGAAGTTGCTTCTGCAGGCTTGTTCTTAGGTTTTCACTCACTTCCTCTGAAGTGTGATATATACCACATGATTATATTGTTGTGGTATATACCACATCATTTTATTGTTGTTCAGTTAGACGTGAACACTCAAACTTAATACTGTGGCTGTAAATGGCTGCTGCTTCTGTGGAAAGCTGCTCTGAAAGGCAGAGAAACTCTCTCTCCACCATCTAACTCTTACCCATGGTTGGGTTGTGGAGGCAAAAGGTCCAGGAGAGGAACCCAGGTACCCCTCTCCCCAGCGACACTTCCCAGCTCCTCCAAGGGTATGGRTGTCCAATCCTGGTCTCTGAGGGTCTCTATCCTGCAGATTTTACTTGTTTCCCTGCTGCAACACACCTGATCCTGAGATTGAGTTACCTGTTCAAGTTCTGCAGAAGCCCTTTAACCACACGCTCATTCAAACCAGTTGTGTTGAAGTGGAGAAACTTCTGTAATATGAATATAAGAGGCCTCAGGGCAGACCCCTCTTCCCAGTGGGACATGCTTGGAAAACCTCCAAAAGGAGGCGTCCAAATCAGATGCCTGAACCACCTCAACTGAGTCCGTGTGATGCAGAGGAGCAGCGGCTCCTCCGGATGATGGAGTACCTCATCTTGTCTCTAAAGGGCTCGACACACTGGAGGCTGGATCCGGCCACTCTACAGAGGAAGCTCATTTCGGCCGCTTGTGTCCAGGATCTTGTTCTTTTGCTCATGACCCACACCTTMTGACCACATGTGAGGGTTGGAACATAGAAGGAGCTGTGAATGAAGAGCGTTGCCTTACCAAAGCAATGAGCTGCTGGAAATACCTTCATCAATAGGCACAAAAAATGTACAGAYGGTCACCTTCAGGCCCAGGCCRCCCTTGCAAAAGAGACTTGTGATCTCAGTGGGATTTGCCTGGTTAAATAATGGTAAAATAAAAATAAAYAAATGCTGCTTAAARGGTCTTATCAATGTTAATGAGAAAAGAGAAAAAAACATGGTAAATGAAAAGTAACTGCATCGGGTTTGTTCTGCAACAAGTGAAGTCTTTCAAACTGATAGGAATTGCAGTACTTTAAACAGGATTTAATTTGATTCTTAATCCTAGTTAGTTCATTTTTTTGAGTGTGTTGCTCTCTGTATATTTCCTCTGTAAAGATGTGTCTGCAGATGTAGCAATGAAGAAAAGTGGGTTTTTTTTCTGCTGCTGACTAGAATTTCTGATCCTGTGATCAGCGTCCATGTGATGTACGGCACAGATTATTTCACGCGCAGCAGCGGCACAGAAAGTTCATGAGCTGCACGGTCTGTTTTAACAGGATTAGCTCGTTGACTGGGTTGAATCAGCTGAATGCTGGTTTGAACACTTCACGTAACGTGCTCATAAAGACTGAAGAAATGGAGTGGACTCCAGACGAAGAACGAAGGTAAATCGTCTAATCTGACGTAAACCTGCAGCTTTAAAATGTCCAAATGTTCAAATTCATTTCATGTAATAAATGACTAAATCTGAGATCTGCATTTAAAGGGGCCGATTTATTTAATTTTAATTTGTATAGGTCCTTCTTGGCTATTTGCCTTGTTCATGTTAAGGTGATGTTTAACTTTTTCTTTATAAAGTGTCCCTAACAATTCAAAGTGAACTTCTGTCTCTTGTAAGATATTACTCGTATATAGCTCTTTAAACTATCTCAGCTAAGTTTATTCTGACCAGATCAATAATTTAACCGCTGGTCCAAGACTAAAGTAAGTTGCTGCCATCTTAAAACTTCAGTTTGAAAAAATCACCACAAATCTTCATTGGTTCTTCATCTTCATCTCCTGCTGCCTATCCATAGTCAGGTCGCAGAGACAACAGAAACCCATTGACACTCTGCAGCTCCTCCAGGGGGACCCCAAGGCCTTCCAAGACCAGAGAMGRTGCAYRGTCCCTCASCGAGTTCTGAGTCTGCCCCAGGGCTTGTTCCCTGTGGGACRTGCCCAAAAACCTCTAAAGGGAGGCGTCCAGGAGCCTGATCTGATGTGTTAACAACCTCAACTGACTCCTCTCAGTGTGGAGGTCAGGCTTTCACAGGAGTCTACTCCATGGGTCTGAGGTAATGAAAGGTGTGTGATRACGAATGTTGAACAACTACGTGACCACGTGTCAACGGTTGGATCCTACAGCAGCTGAAACAARCTCTCAGATCTTCCTCTTCTGTAAATGGGAACCATCATCCGGCCCAAGTGACAATGAAGAAAATCCAGAGCCCTCTGTATCTCAGGTCTAATCTCGTCTACTTTTGGCAGCCTGCCCCCCAAGGAGCTTTTTGACTAACTTGGTAACTTCTGCCATGGTACTGGACTTGTCTTCCACAGAGTCTTCACAGTCTGCCTCCTTTAATGAGAGTGCTTCTTTCTCCACTCAACATCATCTTCAGTCCAGGTCGGCAGTTTCTAATTCAAACCAAACGGACTGACATGGGGGCTCGCTTTCCTTTTCTGAGTCGCTGAGTGGTTTGCTAGGRCCTCCCATGGCCTCCCCAAATTCATCCCAAGTTTTTGCATCTGCCACCATTGAAGCAGCAGTCCTACTGGCCACTTGGTACCCCTGTCTGTGTCTCCTACAGCACATCCCACCATTGTCCAAGTGTTGTTTAACATACAGTATTTAGGTTGAACAGTGTTTTGTTAATTACCAAATGTATATCAGTTAMTGAAAATCCCCGGAGGCCTTGTTGCCTCTTCAACATTGTTCTTAATGAACAGCTGATTTGCTTCCTGACAAGTTCAGGTTTGGGAAAAAAAAGTGCAAATAATGTTTTTCTTGTTCTCTACCTGTCTTTGCTGCTGGAATCCAACAGTGTAATCAATGAAACTCTTTATTTTATGAAGAGAATCCGCAGGATTTTTTTTTTCATGTCGTGTATTATTTTGTTTCGTTTGTTTGGAAGTATCAACTTCCTGAAAGTTTCCCTTCCTTTTATTTTTTAAATGTGTTTTATCTCCTCAGGTCAAAGGCCGGACTGCTCGCTGTGTCCTCTGTGTCTCCAGACGTCCTCACTTGACTCTTGGCCTGGATTACTGTTCCCAGAATCCAGGATGTCCAAGTCGGCCCTCCTGAAGGTGATCCTCCTGGGGGATGGCGGCGTGGGCAAGTCGTCACTCATGAACCGCTACGTCAGCAACAAGTTCGACTCGCACCTCTTCCACACAATCGGCGTGGAGTTCCTCAACAAGGAGCTGGAGGTGGACGGCCACCGCGTCACCCTGCAGATCTGGGACACGGCGGGACAGGAGCGCTTCCGCAGCCTCCGCACGCCGTTCTACCGCGGCTCGGACTGCTGCCTGCTCACCTTCAGCCTGGATGATGGACAGAGCTTCCAGAACATGGCCAACTGGAAGAAAGAGTTCTCTTACTACGCTGATGTAAAGGACCCCGACAGCTTCCCGTTCGTGGTGCTGGGAAACAAACTGGACGTTCCCGGGCGGCAGGTGTCGGGGGAGGATGCCAAGCAGTGGTGTCGGGAAAACGGCGGGCTCCCGTACTTCGAGACGAGCGCCAAGGACGCCACGAACGTAGCGTCGGCCTTCGAGGAGGCGGTGCGTCGCGTCCTGGCGTCGGACGACAGAGACGGTCACCTCGTCAACACCGACACGGTAGACTTACAGGAGAGTCGCCACAGACCCGGCTGCTGCTGAGCCGAGCGCTGGGTGTCAACTAGGGCTGTGTATTGGCAAGAATTTGGCGATACGATACATATCATGACAGAGGGGTCACGATACGATATATCCCGATATATTGCAAAACTGTAAGCAAGGTGAAATATTGCGATATACTGTATTGCGATTTTTTTGGTCCAAAAATTCTATTAAATAAAAACCTCTTACTGGAACAAAAACAAAGAAAAACCAAAATTCATTGTCTCAGACAATTCTATTACATAGACATGCGCTAGCCTTCTGTAACATGAAGGTTGACTACAGTTGGAAAAAAGAGCGCAAGAGACACTTAATTTGTCTTAAAATACAGACATTCTGACAAATAAGTAACTGTTTGTAACCTTACCTCAGCTTAAAAGGCAGAGGGTGTCGGTCTTTTCTGCTCAGATTCAGCTATCGGAGCATGAAGCTAATGTTTACTCACAATGCTAATGCTCTCTTACTCTCTGGCGCTCAAGAGGTAGAGGAGCCAAATGGCTGGCTCACTGCTGCCAACTAGTGGTCAGAGGCTGAACTACAACATACAAATGAATGGCTGGCAGGAAAGTTGACATTTTAAACCTTAATAAAAAATCGATACAGGGCTTTAGAATATCGATACAGTATCAGGAAATGAAATATCGCGATATTTCAGTGTATCGATATTTTCTTACACCTCTAGTGTCAACTGACCCGTGATGATTCTGCAGCTGCCACACGAGAGTCTGGCTGCAGGAAGAGGAGCTGAACCTCATTCTGCACTATTCTGCATTCTCTGTTATTTTATTTGATCAGGTTTAACATTATACACCAATCACATTTGTTTTACTGTATTCTTTTAAACCAAGGTAATTACTTTGTACTATTTCTAAGCAGTGCGTCATTTTAAAATCGGATCATATTTTTAAAAATACAATTCTAAAAAAGGGTTTTCACTCCTGAAAGTCATATTTTTGACCAACTCCAGCAGCAGTATTGTCCTAATGAATGATGAAACAATGTTTTGGAGCAAAAAACAAACTTTTTTGGTATAAAACAAATATTTCTCTCCTGTACAGGCCTTAATCATCATGTTTCATCTTCTTTAAGGATCTGAGACATGCTGAAGACTCAAACAAGGACATCAATGACTGCATTTTTAGCATTATTCATTTCTTGAGCTAGACACTCAAGATTTTGACTTTTTATTTTAAAATGTTTTTAGTAACAATTAGAATTAAAAAATACATTTGTCTCTCACTGTTGGAAGATAACTGGAAAGACAAAACCCTGAAACTTTAGTACTGTTCCTGTTATCCTAAATAAAAGTATTTATTTCCAGTTTTACTTGTATGATGCTGCCAAAACGAACACTTTTAATGTAAAATTTGAAAGCTGAAGTGAAWAATTTACCATTCTTATGTATTTATTTTTTATAAAGTTGAACAACTGTATTTATTGATTCCCTAAAGGATAATGGTTTCAACCATTCACTGGAACCATTTCACTGGAAATAAAAATAAAGTTAAACCAGAAACAAGTCTATTTTATGTTATTATGCAGTTCCCTGTATTGTCCACAAGATGGCGGTGTCGTCAGCTCCATTTAGTCCCTGTTTAACTAAAAGAAGCCAAGCTCTCTGTTCTTGTAAAATTTAAAAAAAAGACCTTTTTTTCTGTAATAGATCAACAAATTTCCTTTCAGTTAAAACGTTGACGTGGCTGTACTGGACTTGTGTCTTCAGCTGTGAGCATTTGATAGCTTTATGTTAACATTTCAAAACAAAAATATTCAACAAAATATATTTCTGGTAATTAAGGTTGTTTTTTAAAATTCAATATTCTAATTGATAACAGACCTAATTAGCTGAATAGCCTCACCTGTGACATTGAGAGGACTGTCTATTTTACACTTACCTGTTGTTTTTTGGGGTCAATTGTATCCTAATTTTTTAGCTGATAAGAAAGTACTAAATTAGCTTAAAAAGTTGGGCATAAAGGTGTATGTAAGCATAATAGCAGCTTGTCACTGTTCACACAAATTTAACTTTAGTTATGGTACTATTAGACAAAAAAATTGTTTTAGATRTGTTCTGTCTTCTGATTACAATTTTGTTTTTGTTGTTCGCAATTGCTTGAAGTAATGAATTTATAAAAAATAAAAATAAACTAATTTACATAAAGCCAGAAAGTAAAACATACATTTCAGAATTTAGGCAACATCCTAAAAGTTGGAACTAAAAAAAAGTTGTCAAATTCAGTTGCAAGCATCAAGTGTAAATAATTTGGGATACAATTCGTTGACATTTATGGTTGCAGCAAAACCTTATGAGATTAAAGATTCGCCACTCAAAAAATGATTTGTTAAATTTACTTAACAAAGTTATGTCAAGTGGTTCCACTCAGTCTAGTTGAGTAWATGTAACAAGATTTACTTGCATTACTTGTGTAAATCTTGTTACCTTTACTCAACGTGGTTGAGTGGAAACCACTTGACATAACTTTAAGTACATTCAACAAATCATTTTTTGAGTGTACTATTTGTGTAGTCTATCAATAGTTCCCAAACGTTTCAGCTTTTGGCCGATGATACAACAGCAGAGACCTGTGCCCCCAACTGTATTTTCAGTGATAGACATTGGTATCAGGTCAAATAAACAAGGACAACAATGATTATTATGCTAATTTCATCCAATTTTAAACAACTCACACTTTTATAACTAACAAGGCAAAAAATAGTTAGTAATTTTTAAATTTAATCAATTCTAAAAATCCTATCCAAATCACACCTTGATGTTTTTAGGACCCACAATGGGGTCCTGACCCCAATTTTGAGAAATATTGCTCTAGATCAGGGGTGCCCAAACATTTTCCCTGAGGGGGCCAAAATGAAAATCTATCTATGGCTGCGGGCCAAATACAGTTATATAATACATGAAATACAAATACTTTTTAAAGTAAAGTCCTTTATTTTTAACGATTAAGCTGTGCAATGGCCCTCTTTTGTTTTAGTCTGTGCACTTGGAGAAAGGCTGCCCTACGCTCAAGTAGCAAAGGCTCATGGAACATTTTATAAATTGATAAATTGAGTTTTTGTGGCCTTATAAAGTGTGCAAATCTACATGCGGGGTTAAATCTGATCTAAATATTTCTTGTCATTTCATGTTTCATGTTTAATCCTAATAAAKCAGCACCATGAATGAAAACTATTCACTACAGCCCTTTTATGTAGTCATTTGACCAAAGGAAACACTGTGTTTCTACGTAGTATGACCTTGTAACTTTGGCTACTGTTGGTGGGCCAAATCAAATGGCTTGGCGGGCCAAATTTGGCCCACGGGCCCCACTTTGGGCTCCTCTGCTCTAGATGCTTACATCATTTAATTTAGCAAAACTTTACATATTTACATTTAGCTATTTCCCCGATGTTTGGACATTATCACCTATGTTTTTAACAAGTTTGCTGAAAACAACACAAATTGAAGAAAGAGGCAGGATTCACGCATGTCACGATAATAAAAAATATCGGTTTTACTAGAGAAGGTTACAAAAATCATCACTATATAGGAGTCATAGAACTATTTCCAACTTAAAAAAAAGAATACCATAATAATGAAACACCTACAAGGGACTACAATGCCATCAAAGTACAATGGAGGTTTTAGAAAAGATTAAGGTGGAGGGAGAGGATGATGGGGGCAAACACTGCCTACTATAGTTGTCAGTACAAATGACTACACATCACCTGAAAAAACTGCAAAGACACAGTCATGTCTCCTTCATGCAAATAACGAGGTAACAACAACACCCTGACACGTATCGTCGGTTTATAGGAAATTGAAATTTTGCCTTTTACATCAACCTGGCGGCAAAGCACATATATTTATCAAACAAAACACACATGGCAATATAGTCCTTTTTTATACAGAGTAGACAGCTGCGCACATGGACGATACTGACATGCTTCATCTCATCAAAGTCAAAAAATTTGTCTTATTCAGTGTTTTTTATATATATTATTGAGGGTTAACTAACCAATAATGATTCATACAGAATATGGTTCTTAAACAATACCTGGTTATAAAATGTACGTATGAAAATTCCTGACTGGTTTTATTCAAGAGTATAAACATCCAAAACAGTCTTTGTGGCTTGTATGAGAGGCATGACGTTAAAAAAAAAACAGAAGAAAAAGGGAAAAAAAAATTATTTGGCTGACCTTTTTTTAAAAATTAGCACAAACATAATCCATAAAATACTCAATCACAGCTGCCTAAAACTGATAAATATTCAAAAGAAATGAGTTCCCATAGTTATTTTTTTGTCACGTTTTTTTTTTAAATGTATACATCACAATCACCTCAATCCATCATGACTGCACTGAATCCCTCTCACAACAAATCATCCAAGATGTTACAGTTATTATATCAAATGCAGAACTAGTATTTGAGTGCTAAACACACATTTCAAAGGGTACATTTACATTTATTTGTGTGTGGGGGAGGGGGAACGGTTAAACACTGGCTGTGTTCTCCCTTTATTTTAAAGGGGTGTGGGTTGTTCTTGCAGGGTGAGTTTTCGGCTATTTACAGGTGGATTTCATTCTCAAAGGGAGGAACCAGTAACGTAGGTTTTTCTTTAATTTACACAAAACAGATTAATAATCTGGRAAGTATTCAAACGGTGAGGCTTTGGAAAAGAACATAAATCAGATTGGGTTTGATACCTGAGGTGTACGTCTCTTTTAAGACCCGGATATATTTGACTTTTATTTCAGCTGGTGATGAATGT